CAACGCTTAGTAACAACAAATAAAAATCCCCCTGTATAGTAACTTTTTATTATAATCACACTATTTATTTTTGGTCCCAAAGGGTGTGACTATAAAGGGGGATGACTGTATTCGCAATTATCTGATAATCAGATTTAAGATACAAGTATTTTGGCTCCTTAAGGTGGCCAATAAGAACTAAATCATCATTTTTGATATATTGTGTCCCTTCTTTTTTACCTTTAAACATTCAATAAAGCTTTTTTCCCAATAATAGATTCACAACTTCGTTAGTTTTTCCTGAATTGATCCGTTTTGAGATCAGAAGGGTGAAAGGCCATTGGGAAGTTGAGTTCAATCCGTTGAATCTTTTTGCATCTTTTATCTTATCAATATGGAGAACGATTCTATCTACTGGATCAAGCTTTCTGACTTGATGATTTTTATGATCTTTTATATTACTTAATATCATACTTTAAAAATATATTATGAAATTTTCAGACAGGCTGTCATGGAGCCGGCTTGCTTAACTTGGGGAATTATTCAAGAATCCTTTCTCAATTAGTGTATGCTTAATGTAAGGAAGAAGATCACATGTATATGGCACTTTGATAAGACATATACCTTCTTTTTTACATATATCCCACTTCTTCTGATCGCACATTCCCTGAAATTCGAATGCTAGTTGTAGTTCCTCATTATATCCATCGAGTTGCATTCCATCCAAAAAATTCGGCCTACATGATGGAAATTTGTTGCCTAGCAGATCTTCAAAAATATAATGTACATTTCTTTCGCTACATAGAGGACACCATTCAAATTTTTTCTCGATATATTTTAGTGGATACTCCCGATATAGATTTCAATAAAAAAAAGACAAAACAATATGGAGAGGGCCAGAAATGGCGTTATTAAAATTTTTCATCCATTTTATAGAAATATATAAAATAAATTTGTGGAACGTCATCATGAATTATTTCTGGCCATAATAACGGATCGAAATCTGACTAAAAAGAAAACGTATTCCCGGTTTGTTTATATGTAAGCTAACAAACATTATCATTGATCGCAAAATTGTAAGAAGTAAGTAAAGTATGATGAATGAGAAATATCAATTTATTTAATTCTTTATTAAGACGTGGTGTAGTAATTTACAAATAATGTATTTCCCCTAGATTGAGAGATATGCAACAATAAATCAAATTTTTTTTTTGTTTTTTTTTGTTTAATGATATTATTCTAAAGTATTATTAATTAATGTATATACTTTTGTATCTGAAAGAAATAATTAAAAAATGTCTTAAATAATTGATTTCTATGAAGAGATTACAAGAGGCCTTTCAAAAGGAATAGAAAGTTCATATTGTCTAGCTAAATCTTCATCTATTTCTTCCTCTTCAAGCTTTCGTTGTTGCATAAAATTGTTTTTTGTAAAGAAACTTTGATCCTTAACGGTCAAAGAAGCCAAGTCGATGGTGGAAGATGGATCTTCATAAGTAGTAATATTTCGAAGGATTTTTTGAGTGTGTAAAGGTATGATAGGAAATTTAAGTTTTCGAGAGGTATAGATAGCTTGAGGATGGATTTGAAGAGGAATTAATAATTTGTTTGGAGATGTATCTAAACCTTTGGATTTCATGCGCCTTATCCGTATACGTTCAGCTTGTTCGAATTCATCAGATTGTTTCTTATACATGTGCCATTCACCTAATTGATTTACTAATTCTCTGATGTTTGGACGTATTGAAAGATCCGATGACCAACATTTTTTCATTAATTCGATGTAACAATCAGGAACATCGATATTTTCAATACTAGGACGAAGTTCGTTATAAGCAATCGAATTAATCAATCTTGATTTATGAAGTTTATCATGAAATGGTTGAGAATTAGTACAAAGTTCCCACATGATGATTCCAAAACTGTAAATATCAGATTTCTTTGTGTACTTTTCGTTTCTTAATATTTCAGGTGCCATAAAAGGTAATAAATCATTTTTATAATATCCTATTATCGGAATTGAATTCTTATTCTTCCCAAGTCCCAATTCATTCACTGGAATTTCCAAATGATTCTTAAATAATTGTCCATTGGTTGCTTTATCACGATGAACTTGTTCCCCATTATGTAATTGTTCAAGAGCGCAAGCAATTGAATGAAGTATTGACAATTTACGTGACCATGTGAGACGAGCAAAATGATGTGATACGTAATGCCTCAAATCCCACTCTATAGTTTCTGCTACCATCATAAAGTGTCCTGTTACGGTCTCCCGAGTTACTCCAAATAATCGAATCATAAGGCCGTTATGAACACGTGAAAAATAATGCAATTTTAACTAGAGGAAAAAAAATTTTGTTAAATTTTTTTTTAAAAAAAAAAAATTTGATAAAAATCAGTCATTTATTTAACAAATACCTCTTTAAGGAATAAGGATGGAGAACTGCCAAGAGAGTGTAAAGCTATTTTAATTAATTCTCTTCTCGTCACATATTTCGATTCGGTCTCATCCCAACAATCTTTTGGACCTTTTTTCCAATTAGCAGTATAAACAGTTCCCACTTCGGAAACGTCATATTTGCTTACTCCGATAAAATCAATAAACGGCATCCATTCTAAATATTCTGTACAATCGTTTGCGTTCAATTGTGTTTCTCTGATAAATTCATCAATGTCTTTATCCCCTGTACTCCAATTATCAAAGTTTTCTTGGAATTGTGTGGATTGGCATGGTTTGCACCAATAATTTGCGCCCAATGATTGATCACACTCGGGACAATAACTCTTACTATAAATTCCCATTTAGGATGTTATAAGGGTTTGAGTTGATTATTTGTAATAAAGAGGGGGGAATAAAAGATTTTGTAATCTTTTATTATAAGATTTTATAACGATTTTTTTTTTAACTGAATACTCGACAAAAGTTCCTGTTATTTATATTAAAAAATGCAAATTTTTCTGAACTCCGATTGTATTGTTATTTTTTATTGTTCGCTTTTTAACACGGATATGGAAAATCCACAAGGATCGGAGTACAAGTTAACCTTAATATGATTTGCATGATGTAATTTCCATATAGAAATGGAAATTTAAAGAATATTCGATGATTAGTATAGGATATTGTCCTACCGTTTTCCTTTTATATCTAGATTTGGTACTAAGTAGTCTGTCACTATGAATTTTTATTTCTCCGGAGTATTCGAGATTTAAACCTACCGATAGGTTCTGCATTATGCAGAGAAAGATTTTTTTTATATGGTATTTACAAATAAGACAAAGAAAATGATTTGAAAAAAGTACAATTAAAAATAATTTAAAAACAACGGATTTGTGGAGTTGGTTTCACAAAAAAATAACATTTTTTAGATCATTTTTTGAATTTTCGTGACAATGAAAAATAGAGGGAGATTCGTTACATTACATTAAAATCAACTCCTTTGTACGCGATTGATAAAGCTTAATGAGTCATTAAAAAACAGATGAAAATCGACAAAATGAAACAGAAAAAGGGTTAATCAATCATTAAAAGCGATAATAATGTTTCGCAACGTGATTATAAAAAGTCTTCTGATTATGTTCTGACAAACATGTGAAATTACGACTGCATAATATACTTCAGATGGTCCCATACAATTTAGTTAAATTATTTTTCCATTTTGGTGAATAAAAGTAGATAAAAAAAATAAATTATAAAATGAAAAAAGAAATGAAATGTGTATGGGATGAATTTGTGGTGAATAACAATAATGAAAAAAATGAAAAAATGAGCTTTTCTCCGAAAAAAAAGGAGACTTCGGCCTTATCTTTTCTTTACAATCTTGTGCCTTTGTTTACAGCGCAGTAAAATTGGATGATCATAACGTGACTTTCATTTGCTAAATATTACCATCTGCATGGAAATAATTTTTATCCTTTTGCCCTTAATCTTTTTTGTTGCAATCCGTCCATTCGGAGATATATATTGCCCATATTTTGTTTTCTTTTTTTAGGATAATTTCTTTTGTGACTTTGTTAAAGGTAATTATCTCTTGTTATTTTGAATTAAATTTAAAAAAGGATGATATCTTGCATTTATAAGGCTGTTTCAAACTGAAATAATTAATTTTAATTTGTTGAGAAAATGCCTCTTCTGATTTTATTTTATGAATATAAATTTTCAAAATTAATTAAATTACAATAGCATATATACTAACTATATATTCTTATAATTCTTTAGATCTTTAAGGTACATAAATTATTTAAGTTCCATCATCAAACCCTTTTTTTGATAATAAATGCTATAAAAGAAAAAAAAAGGATGGGAAATTTGTTCTCCTTATAATTTGAAAAGAATATCCGATACCCTCATAATTCGCCTTAATTACAACATGGCATATTTTGACAATCAATTGGATAAGATTAAAAAAAAATCAATAATTTGCGTTATTTTGATTTTATTATTAAGACATTCTTTAACAAAAAACTAGAAATTCGATTTTTGATCCTAGATTTTTTGTGCCAGGATGTTACATTCATACTTTTCTTTGTCTTTTTATTTTTTTTTGTAGGAAGGTTTTAATTATTTGTACGAGCATTTGAATTACTCCGAGGTTATCGATCAAGTCAAATCTGACATGAAAAAGAATCATTCGAGCTCAAAAACAAAAATATTTGAATAAATTTTATTTTTTATATTGATTTAATGAATAAAAAAAAACACATATCGGGAAAATAAAAATAAGTTCCCATTTGAGAGAAATTTTCATTTGGATGTTCGGAAAATTTTCGGATTTTTCGGACCTTGGAGATCTTCGGCAATTTATTAGCCGATAGATCGAACGTGATTTTAATGACACCAATCACACTGTGTTAAAAAATATTTTGATTTGCAAAAAATCTAATATAATATATTATAATAAAAATCTTAAAGTAAAATATAAATATACAATAGGTAACGGAAACCGTTAGAAAGTCCGGAGCGAAAAACTCAGGTTTGTGGTCATGGGACTATTTCGTAATTGTTCAACAATTGTAACCAATAACAGATCGACTCAAATATTGAGCGGGGGGAACGCGGGCATAGAATTATATAGTCCTTCGAAAATAATATATATATATATTTTTTATTTTCAATTACCATTTCATTAGATTTTATTAAATTGTTAGTAAATTTATAATAAATTATCAATGAATTTGTTGTTAATTAATCTTTTTTATACATAAAAAATTAGTAATTCAATTTTGAATAGTAGAAAAGTAGAAAATTTAAAAATATTATTTTATTCAATTCATCAAATTAAAATATTATACAACTTTAATATATTGGAGGTTTGTTAGAAAAATGTGGATTCTGAGAATTTTTTAACTAAAATTTCATTACCATCAAAAATTAAAATGCAATAAAAATCCAAAATTTTATTAAAAAATTTTTAGAACACCATTTATTTTCTTAACAAACTTCCCATATATTTATCAAGCTAAATTTATAATTTACATTAACTATTTTTACAGAATATGAAATGAATGTCATTGATTCACTCTAAATTCTTGATGTTTAAGAATTTTTAACTATTGTTATTATAATATATTTTTTAATAAAGTTATATATTTTTTAACATTTTATTTTTATTTCCTATTATAATTCTAATTATAGTCTATTCACTTATAATATAGTTAATAACTTTAGGATCTTTATTAAAAGACAAATTTATAATTATATTAAAAAATTATTTAATATAATATATATTTTTTTAAATTAAATATTTTATTTTCAATTAAGTTATTAAGTTATGATCAAATAAATTTTCTATTTTAAATAATTATATATTAAATTGAAATTAATCAATTGAGATATCTGAAATAGTTTAAATAATTAAAATTATTTCTAAAAATTAAATGGTAATAGTTTATGAGAAATAATGTAAATATTAATTAATAAATATGTATTTTTAATTTTTTTTGAGATTATTTTATATATTTTATATTAAATTATTTGATATTATTACTATTTTACCTTTTATTTATATTTTTAAAATTAAAATATTTTAATTTTTAGGTTTTCATTTTAATTTTTTGTATATTCATTATATTTTGAACTAATAATTATATATGAAAATTTTGGAAAATTATATTTAAATAATTATTAAATTCAAATAATTTTTTATAATTAAATAATTCATTTTATAATTTATTAATATTTAATAAAATATAAACAAGAGAAATATATTTTATAAATATTTTTTAATTATCTATATATAATAATAATTTTTTTAAATGTTTTAGATTTTTTAGCTTTCTAAAAATATTTATTTTTAAATAATAATATAAGAGATTTGCTAGGAAAATAAAGTTCTAAGAATTTTTGATTAAAGTTTTATACTTATTGTATTTTATTTTAATATATTCAAAAATTAAAATATAATAAAATTAAAATTTATTAAAAATTCTCTAAATCCTATTTTTCTAGCAAACTTTATATATTGTATATGAGAGGTGATCAGTAGAAAAGAGAGAAATCCAAATTTTAATCAAAATTTATATTATTAGACCACTTGGCTGATCTTGATCATGTATACAAATTTAGCTTAATAAT